AACTATTAATAAATGCTATTAAATATAAATTGAAGTAAAGAAGACATTAATAAATTGTCTTAATTGGTAGTTCAACTACCAAAGGCAAGTCTTCTAATTATTTTCCAATATCAGCCACTCCATTATCTTCTCGATTTGATATGCTAATGCTATAAAGATTTTTGGGCTCAAAAGTCTTTGTTTCAACCTGTACACTAGCTAGCTTTTGAAGATGCAATGTATAGGTCTCTTGAATCTTCTTAACCTTGCTTCTTGTAATCCGTCCTTTGGGTATATGCAAAGGGTCAGCAGTTGAATTCATATCATCCTCCCTTTCTTTAAAAGGATTTGTCCTCAAATCAAGGCCTTCATTCCCTACATCAAATGAAGTCAAATCAGCCACATTAAAAGTGGAACTTACATTGTACTCATCTCTGAGATCTAGCTTGTATGCATTGTCATTGATCCGCTCTAGTACTTGAAAAGGACCATCTCCTCTTGGTTGAAGTTTTGACTTTCTCTGACTTGGAAACCTTTCCTTTCGTAGATGGATCCAAACCCAGTCACCTTGTTTAAAAATCAATTTCTTTCTTCCTTGGTTCTTGCGCGTGACTAGTTTTTGATTTTTGTTTTCAATTCTTTCTTTTATGTCTTTGTGAATTTTTTTTATGTATTCGGCTCTTGAAGAAGCTGCATCATTAGCAAACATATTAGGTGGCAAAGGAGATAAATCTAGAGGAGTTAAAGGATTAAATCCATACACAACCTCAAACGGTGAACACTGAGTGGTACTATGTAATGCTCTATTGTATGCAAATTCCACAAAAGGTAGAGTCTCTTCCCAAGACAAGATGATATGAACCAAGAGACATCAATCATACAATATGCTTCAATGAAGATGTGGAGAAAAGGTTATCAAAATAATCAAAAGATGTTTCAATTCATGCTACATTGAAGAAGAATAAAGTTTGATTGTTGTAAATTTTGGGTGGGTTATAATTTAGAGTAATTTAGAGTTATTGTATTTTAAGACTTTTTATTTAATTTCGGTTACATTTACATAATGGCTAATTATGGCCATAAAGTGTGAATGTTACAACTTTTGTAATTTTCATTTTGAGGCTATATAAAGCCATGTTTGTTGTATTTGTAAGGAAGACTTAGAAGATATATCAAAAGAAGCATTTGTGCTTTTTTTTAGCCAATGGCTGAGTTTCTTTGCAACTCTATGTAGTTTAGGTTGCATGTAGAATCATTCAAGCTCGACATGATCAATCTTGCTTGTGGAGTGATTCGAATCTCAATCAAGTGTTCTTGTCTTGAGATATTTGATCAACAAGAATCATTGAAGCTAGACATGATCGATCTTGCTTCTGGAGTGATTCGAATCTCAAACAAAATGTTCTTGTCTTGAGATATTCGATCAACAAGGTAATCCGAATCTTATTCCCCTTGTATTGATTCCTTATCTTATCACAAGATTTTTAGAAATTAGTGACCTAAGTAAGGCTCCTAATGTTCTATTAACGACCTCAGTTTGTCCATCGGTTTGGGGGTGACATGTTGTAGAAAATAGAAGCTTAGTTCCCAACTTTCCCCACAAAACCTTCCAAAAATGGCTTAAAAATTTTACATCCCTGTCACTAACAATGGTTTTGGAAATACCATGCAATCTAACCACTTCCTTAAAGAATAGATTAGCTATATTGGTAGCATCATCTGTTTTTGATATGAACCAAGAGACATCAATCATACAATATACTTCAATGAAGATGTGAAGAAAAGGTTGTCAAAATTATCAAAAGATGTTTCAATTCATGCTACATTGAAGAAGAATAAAGTTTGATTGTTGTAAATTTTGGGTGGGTTATAATTTAGAGTAATTTAGAGTTATTGTATTTTAAGACTTTTTATTTAATTTCGGTTACATTTGCATAATGGCTAATTATGGTCATAAAGTGTGAATGTTACAACTTTTGTAATTTTCATTTTGAGGCTATATAAAGCCATGTTTGTTGTATTTGTAAGAAAGACTTAGAAGATATAGTAAAAGGAGCATTTGTGCTTTGTTTAGCCAATGGCTAAGTTTATTTGCAACTCTATGTAGTTTAGGTTGCATGTAGAATCATTCAAGCTCGACATGATCAATCTTGCTTGTGGAGTGATTCGAATCTCAAACAAGTGTTTGAGATATTTGATCAACAAGAATCATTGAAGTTAGACATGATCGATCTTGCTTCTGGAGTGATTCGAATCTCAAACAAAATGTTCTTGACTTGAGATATTCGATCAACAAGGTAATCCGAATCTTACTCCCCTTGTAGTGATTCCTTATCTTATCAGAACCTCACTCCTGTCGGTCTCACATCTTCGTTCGCTCCTTCAGCTTTTCTTTCCTGTATTCATTCCCTGAACTACTTCCCCGTAACCTATTGTATTCTGATTCTTCTCTTGCCTGCTTGCTTATTCATCAAGTGTTGAAAGTCACGACTCCTTATGAAAGGGAACTACTTGACTACTTTACGGAACCTATTTCTTTCTTTCTTTCTCCTTGCCTTATTTCCGGAGGTAAACTGTATTCTGATTCTGGAATTTCTTTACTCTCTCTCCTGTAAGAAAGATTAATTTGACAGAGTTGACTGTTCAGGACTATTACTGATTAACCATAACAACCTGATTAAACTCTGACGTACCATTTATTAAGAAATATTATCCTCTGTCTATTTTTCGGGGTATTTATGAGGGTTTCACTCTCCTTCACTCTTCTCCCTTTGGACGAGCTGTTTCACTCCTTTCTTGCTTGCTGTTCAGGACTATTCCTTCTTAACCTTCACTCCTTTTATTCACTGTAGTAACTGAAGAAAGGCGAAACAAGACTAAGAGTTCACTTCTTCAACTTGTCTCTCTTCTTCTTCTTCTTTAACTCTTTTACCGGGTAAAGCGCTATTTGACGAACCTGAACGGGACCCTTCTCTTCTAGAACTCCCCTTCACCTCTCCAACTGTGGTTGAACTATCTATGTCTTCTCTCCCCTTGCCCGTAACCTTCTTTTATTTGGTAAAGCGGCTAAGTAAGCTAATGTCCTTCCTCTCTCTCCTATAAGATTCATTTGACTGAGCAGGAAGTCAAGACTGCTTATTCCTGAACCTTACCCTGATTGAACTCGGTAATTAAGAGGGAACTAGATCCGTTCTCTTTGCTCCTTCCCGTTCACTGAACCGATATTGCCTGCCTTGCCTGTCTCTTCTTTCCCAGTAAATAAGGTCGGTCTGTCTCTCTCACTCTTCGGGCCTCTCTCTCCTTTGTCTCACAGCTTCCTGCTTGCTTCTCGCCTTTCCTTTCAACTATTTATTATGGGTCTCTTTGTTCTCTTTTCTTGATCTTCTTTACCAGTAATCGAAGAAAGACTCAATCAAGAGTTGTAGAACTGTAACTCATTCACTCCTTCCTTCTTGACCTCGGTAAAGCAGCTTAGGATTTCATGTACTCTCTTGTAAACTCATAGAACCTGGCCCCACTTCCATTGCCTGTCCCGTCCCTTCAAACAGTCTGTCTGTCTTCGTCTTCGCTCCTAGACTATGACTTCTTTTACTCGATAAAGCTGCTGAGGATTCTATTCTTCTTGAACTAGGATTGGTTGACCAATTGCATTGGCTGAACCTTTTTCTTCATTCAAAGACTCGGTCCGGTAACTAGGTTACATCTTCTGTCCTGTCCGGTCTGTCTCTCTCTTCTTTCTCTCTTGCTTTCCTTACCTTGATGGAACTCTAAAGAAAACAATTATTATGATCTTTCTGATATTCCCTTCTTGAACAATTGAACCTCTATTTCTTGATCTGATCCTTTCTACTCAACTCAAGATTCTTTCTCTTTAACTCCTACACCTATTCTGTGAGACAGATTTCACTCTTTCTTTTACTCTCTCCCCCTCTGTAAAGAGAAGGATGTAATGCGGCTTCTTCTTTTTCCTTATTCTTTCACTCTGACGGACCATTAATGAATCAATGTTATCCTCTGTCTATTTTTTGCTTATGGCTATTGAAGAGGTAATTCGATCGAAAGATACAGAACTACTGAACCTCATAAACTATCAGTCTGTATTGGTTCTTGATCTTGAACTTGATTGAACTGTAAGTGGTGAAGTAGCTAATGACTAGATTCTCCCTGATTGAACAAGGTAATGTAGAAGTCAAGCCGAAAGAAGAATGAGACAGATTTCAACTTTCACTCGGTAAGTAAATAAGTGAAGGAGCGAAGCTGTGAGATCAGACCGATAGGTTCAGCAGCTCCGTCTAAATAAAGAGCAATATACAAATAGAGTTTTACTTCTTCCTTCTGTCGAGTCAAAGGTTCTTTGTTCTGTATAGGGTCATCTCCCTTCCCTTTCTTAGTTTCTGATATTTTATCTGGGCGAGGCTCATTCAATTACGAGATCAAATCTCATCAAATCTAAATTATAGAAGGGAGGATGGTTTAGAATAGCCCGAGGAGATGCTTGTTCCTTTCCTTTCGTTTCTTTGATTTGAAACATCCCAGCCAGCGGCAAATCAAGTCAATGCTTCATTTCATCCCATAGGTATGCTAGATAAATGTTGATCTTCTCCTTTCTTGAACTGCGGAACCGGAACCTATCCCTGTCTCTTTTCTTTGATTCAGATTCTTGACCAGTAAAGACAGATGAAACTCCACCAGATTATTTATCCTTACTGACCGAACTGAACCTTGCTTGCACTCGGTAATAAAGCCACTAATGTACTCTCGCTGATGTAACTGTAAAAGAAGAAAGCTCAACCCTTTACCTTCAAACACTCCTTTTCCTCTCCAACTATCAGCTTCTCTACGGAACCGTAACTATGTCTTGTCTCATTGCTTCCTCTGCCTTACGGTCTATTTTCTTTCTGTTCTTTCTCCTCTCTCTGCTGCCCATTTACTCCTGAACTACTCTGTATTCCCTTCTGACTCGTAACCTATTCAAAGAATGAATGAAATCCTTCGCTGGTTGGTTACCTCCTCTCTCTCTGTCCTGTCTTCTCCTTTCTTTCTGTTCTTTCCTCCCTCCTCTGTAAGATAAGAGGGATATTAATTCGACTAAACTCTTCTGCCTATTTATTCTTTCATTTAACTACAAGGTCAAGCTCTTTTTCCTATCCAACTCGTTCTCGTGGCTTCGCCCCTTTACAGTTGAATCTGGTTAGTTAGTTAGGTAATAACATAGAGTCAAAGAAGAAGAATCAGATATGATATTCCTTATAGAGTAACTTAATTCAATCCTTCACCTTCGCCGAAACTCCTTATACAATAATATTACCTTGCCTTGCCGAGCTCGCTTTAGCTTTTAGTTTGATTCCCTTCTTTCTTTTTCGTGTAAGGCCCATTGATTATTTAATGGATGCTTTACGACTGTTAAAGTTTCATAATCGCTTTTTAGCTCTTTCAATAGGTGAAATTAATGAGAGTTTATGCTTTACGACTGGAAAGGTTCCGTTTTTAGGTAATTAATAAGGAACTGGCAGGCAGGCTTTCTTGCTGGGGCTCCTACTATTTATTTGTCTCGCCGCTTCGCGCCTCTTCTCGTCTCGTGGCTTCGCACCTTTCTTTTCCTATAGGGTCTTGTAACCTGAACAAGGAGATATGGGCGGTCTCTTCTTCTTTCCTTCACCTTCTTTAACTGTAAACGTAAACTAAGACTGAACTCAAGCACAAGACTCAAGATTCGTCAGATGGAACAACAGTAAGACTCAATTAAAGAAGCATTCTCCTCCTTAACTGCTTTCTTGCTTGCTTTTACTCCTTCCCCGATATAACCTGAAGTATTAATGATATGTCACAGGAAGGAAAGAAAGAGAAGCTAGCTCATTCACCTTACCCTATTTCTTCTTGAACTCTTTTCCTCTGTAATTAGGTTAAAGCATCTTATCTTCTCCTTCAAACCCAGTAAACAAAGACCTAATGAAGAGAGTTTACGAAAGATGAATGATTTCACTCCTCTCCCTTTGGTCGAGCTCTTTGACTCCTCTCTCTATTCTATGGGCGGTACCTATTCTCTTGGCCGGTCTCGTTCTTTCTGTTCTTTCCTTCACTTTTTGGAACAAGGGTTAAACTATTCAAAGACTGGGTAAAGCAGCTAATGAATTTACTCGACTCTAAGAAGAAGGATGAATTCCTTCTTAACTCCTTGTGCAGTTAGTGTTTGTTAGTCTTTCCCAAACAATAAACAAAGCCTCAACTTTAAACCTTTTTCGGAACCTTCCCCGTCGCCTCGGCCGGCTTCTTTTCTCTTCGATTTCGAACACTCTTTCACTTTGAGACTCTCTCTTCACTCTACTAATTCATTTACTGTCTTGTAAACTCCCTTTCTCCCTCTGTCTGGGTCTCATTGCTTCTCTTCTTCACTCCGTAACGATTAATGATCAATCACTTGTCCCTGATTTCACTCTGTCTGAGTCTTCGCTCCTTTCCCTGTCGGTTTCATTGCGGAGCTCCTGGCCTATTATATTACTTCTGTCCCTAACCTGATTGAACTGATTTTGACCCTCTCGCTATCGGTCTCGCTCGCTCCTTTCATTCAAAAAGCATTGTAACCTCCTCTCCTGAACTATGTTATTACTTCTGTCCCTGATTGAACTTCTCTTGATCCTGTCCCTTCAGTAGTGTTTCAAGTAAAGCCGAAAGAAGAATGATCGTTCCCTCAATCACTTGTCCCTATGTATTCTTTAACTGTAAACTCCTCTCTTTTTCCTGGCAGCTTCAATTCTATTGCTTTAACCTCTCACTCGGTAAAGTTCGGCCCTTCCCCTCTGATATTACCTTGACCTTGCTGCGCTAGCTTTCTTTGTTTTATTCCCTTCTTTGTCTTCGTCTTCTGACTTTGCCTCCCCCTGTGAACCTGTCCCTGATTTCATTGAAGAAGGTTAAGTTATTTTAGGGTCTCTTCTCTATATCTGCTTAATTCCATTCTTGTTATGGTTCTTTCTTTATTCTCATTCAGTGATTGATTGTTCACCTTTCACTCTTTTACTTGTCCCTTCATCAATCAATATCCTCAATTCAAGCAAGATTAATGAGACGAAACCTACACCCCCTTTTCCTTCATTTCACTCTTTGACTCACAAGGTAAACTCCGGAACTACTGAAGGAACCTTCTTTCACGAGGTCTGTTTGCTCCTGAACCTTCTTGCTTTCACTCCTCTCCCTTCCGGTCGAGCTCTTTCACTCCTGGCCCTTTAGTTAGTCCTATTGATTCTTGAACTGTAAACACTCAACTCCTTATTCATTCTTGATCTTCTCCTTTCTTGAACTATAAACTAAGAAACCCCCTGATCTTTCTTCCACAGCTGAGATTCCCTCATTCCCCTCGTACGTAAACTCTTTGTCTCGCAGCTTCGCTCAATCACCTATCCTTTACAGGAGAGAAAATGAATAGTGTTTGGAAGAGAACTTAACTGCTCCTGAAAAAGAAAGTGTTGAAAGGAAAGACGAAAGATGAATGAGCCGGAACAAACGGGAAGTCAAGACTCTCGATTCGTTAGAGTTTACAGTGAAAGAAGGGAGAGGAAAGAGACTGAACCTATCCTTTCTTTACCTTAGCTGCTTCAATTCTGATTAATTTCGGAAACCCCGGTAAAATGGACTATTTAGCTTTTTCACTAACAAAAGCTACTGAAAGAAAATATTTTGTATCCAGTATAGGGGTAAAACATTAAAAGATCTTTTTCCCTAATAGCTGCATAGGAAAGAAAAGATTTTGTATTCACCATAGGGGTAAAACATTAAAAGAGGTTTTTCCCTAAGGAAAGCAGCAAAAAGAAAATAAATTCTATCCAGCATAGAGGTAAAACAGTAAAAGCGGTTTTCCCTTAATAACTGGAGCTTCAATCAAAGAAATTCTATCTTTCCCGTATTTTGAGGGATAAAACAGTCCATTTGACCATATTTCCCTCAGTAACTCGATTGTAAACACTCAAAAAACTAGAAAAAAACTATCCCCCCTGCCCGTATTTTGAGGGATAAAAGTCTATCTTTACCCTCTTTTTCGGGATAAAATCCCGGTATTTAGGGCCAAGGTAATTAAGAAGTAGAAGTCAATCCTAAAGATGAATGAGAGTTCACTGTCAGTCAAACCTCAACTCTCTATTCATTCTTTCTCTTTCTTCTCCTTCTTTCACTTTGGGATTAGTCAGTAAATTAACCAATCCGGATTAAGTCGACCTATGCTTTCCATACTGACCCTGAAACAGCCACTTAGTTCTAGCTAAGGCCGATCCTTCGTCATATGCTTAGTCAAAATCACTTTTGCATATATGCGATTTACAATAAGAGAGAGTTCCCTTGTTCAGAACTATAAATTATTATTTTATATATTATCATGATTCAAATCGATTCTACCGGGAGATCTTAACGATGAATACAGACATTAACAGATGCGGAAACAGAGACAGAGCCTTTACGGTAAGGTGCACCAAAACCTGTCGATTGCTTTCTCTCTCTCCAAGGACGAAAGATGACGAACTGACTTCAATGAGCGGAACTATCCCTACTATACTATCACCTTTGAAGTGACGAAGTGACTAGGTCAGAGAACCTCTCTTAAAAGTATGAAAAGTGAAAGAACCCCCTTTTTCTCCTCGCTGTCGCCTTTGGCTCGAGCTACGTTTGATTCTGGTACTCTATTATTCCCGTCGTTGACTACTTCTTCCTTTGACTTTCCTACCTTCATTCATTCTTGTGTGTAGCGCGTGGGGCCATGACCTTCTTTTGTCCAACTGTCAGCTCCACAAGCAAAGATCCTTTTGTTTCAGTCACTCCTCCTGCGAAAGAGTTCACATCGCTACTAGAAAAAAGAATTCAATCCAGCCATAGGTTATCCCTACAGCTATTTTTGCTTTTTTGATTACGATTTACGATTACGGCTAGTAAGATTATGACCCCCAACGATAAAGGAACGTGCATTTATAGAATTTTCTATTATCAAATATTAAGTTGGAATTGAAAATCAAAATAAAAACATAGAATAATCTCATCATTATTTCTATAATAGTTTCAGTTTAAAAACAACAGGGAATACCCGAGAGAAAGTCAGCTCAGGCTTTACCCATCTGGAAAAATTCCATTACCAAAACTAAATAGAAAACAAACAAAAAAGCTATAGTCTAAATCCAAAATCTCACAAATATATGTCGTGATCGGTTTGAGTTTTCTTCATTATCTTGTTTGTTGTCCAATAAAAGAGATTGACTAGACAGTTGGGTTTTGACTTACTATTCTTAAATATTGAAAGGAGGGAGTAGGTCTGCGCTAATCATCTATCTTATGATAGGCTCCACTAGACGACACAGAACGTTTAAAGCCTACCGTGCCATATTTGTGATGGTTTCCAAGATAAGAGAGAGGAAAAGACCACTTAGATATATGTTGCTCATTGGAAGTGGGCTCTCTCGTTTGCCCCCACTTTTTCAATTTGGATTTTCAAACAAAATGCAAACAAGTTTGAACCCTTGTTTCAGTCAGAATGAATCTCCGGGACATTGACGTTCGACAACAGTGGACTCTTAGAGCTCGCATCCCGCACATATTCTACATTATAGCCTGCAACTAATTACTAATTCAGCTTCAGGGAGATCAAAGGGAGCTCGATTAGTTTCTGCGTTACAAGAAATAAAGAACCATAACCAATACTGGGAACAAACAAGGGAATCCCAAACCATATCCGCTTTTGCGCCAGCCACGACAATCTCACTCAAATTACAGGAACCTACACATATTTTAACAGTATACCAAGGTCCCCAACCACACACGCTAATTTCTCTGCATGTAGCTCGTCCGTACTTTCTTTCTTTTCCTGTTTTTGTTTTCAGGCACTACCTTGATAATCAATCATCATGAGAGGAAAACTAAAGTCTAAACATGAAAGTTATATGAGTTAGTAAGTAGCGCCTACTATTTGGCTTATTTAGGTTCTTGACTGGAGCTATTTCCTCACTGCTGTCTTGCCGCATTCTGTTTATTTAGTTTGGCAAGTCAGATTTTTGTGTATATTTTTTCTATTTTCATGTGAGATTTAGAAAAGGCAGATGCGAATGGAGTGCTTTGATTTTGAACAAATAAAAAGTATGTGGGCAGCCTAAATGGAGCTTGACTTATCCAATTTTGTGTTATAAGATAAAGGCTTTTCCTTATACCTTTAGTATATGAGCTGTGACCTCTGTCTTTCTTCGATCTTCAAATAGAAAAAGTGATGCCAATTCCTTTCCTATTTACTTTTTACAAACAAATCAAGAAGAAGTTATATTCAAAGTGAAAACGACCCTTTATTTACAACCTCCTTCGGTAACTTCATTTCAATTACCCTGATTTATGAGTACTAATATGGCCGATCTGTCATCCAACCTATTTTTAGGGCTATTTGGGGCTAGAAGTAATTCATTCATTATTAAGGAAAGACGAAGAAAGAAGAATGCAACTTGACTATGTAAGGGAGAATCCAGGGAGAAGAGAAAGAGAAGCGAATGAACCTGAACCGATATGACCGGACTCCCTGATTGAACGTGAACGAGTTGGAAGTTAAAGAAGAAATGAAGGAGTTAGCAGCTTTGAAAGACGACAAGATGAATTAATTACAGGAAAGAGGTAAACTTAATCACTACTGAACCAGAAAGTGTTGAAAGTCAATCCGAAAGCAAGACAAGAAAGAGGAATTCTCCTTTACTGTTGATAAGATAAGGAATCAATACAAGGGGAATAAGATTCGGATTACCTTGTCGATCGAATATCTCAAGCCAAGAACACTTTGTTTGAGATTCGAATCACTCCAGAAGCAAGATCGATCATGTCTAGCTTCAATGATTCTTGTTGATCAAATATCTCAAACACTTGTTTGAGATTCGAATCACTCCACAAGCAAGATTGATCATGTCGAGCTTGAATGATTCTACATGCAATCTAAACTACATAGAATTGCAAAGAAACTTAGCCATTGGCTAAAGAAAAGCACAAATGCTTCTTTTGATATATTTTCCAAGTCTCCCTTACAAATACAACAAACATGGCTTTATATAGCCTCAAAATGAAACTATTAAAGGCATTTCAAAAGTTGTAACATTCACACTTTATGGCCATAATTAGCCATTATGTAAATGTAACCGAAATTAAATAAAAAGTCTTAAAATACAATAACTCTAAATTATAACCCACCCAAAATTTACAACAATCAAACTTTATTCTTCTTCAATGTAGCATGAATTGAAACATCTTTTGATAATTTTGACAACCTTTTCTTCACATCTTCATTGAAGCATATTGTATGATTGATGTCTCTTGGTTCATATCATTCTCCACTTCTTCAAGAGGATTCGTCCTCGAATCTATTTGTGAAACTTTGCTGCAAAAAATAAGTTATGGAAATACAAAGGACCTCACAACACTCTCTCACGTGTATATACTCAAGGAATTTTAGGCCACTCTGTTTGCACTCATTTACACAAATGAAGCTCTCATTCTCACCTCTCAAAATTTTAAATAGAGCAAAGATTGAATTTTGAACTTTGGGTCGATTAAAAACTAAAAAGATGAAAATAAATAAAAATCAAATTGAGAAGAAACGCAAAGGAAACATATATCCGATCTTGAGCCTGAAGCTCTGATACCAAATGATAAGATAAGGAATCAATACAAGGGGAATAAGATTCGGATTACCTTGTCGATCGAATATCTCAAGCCAAGAACACTTTGTTTGAGATTCGAATCACTCCAGAAGCAAGATCGATCATGTCTAGCTTCAATGATTCTTGTTGATCAAATATCTCAAGACAAGAACACTTGTTTGAGATTCGAATCACTCCACAAGCAAGATTGATCATGTCGAGCTTGAATGATTCTACATGCAACCTAAACTACATAGAGTTGCAAAGAAACTTAGCCATTGGCTAAAGAAAAGCACAAATGCTTCTTTTGATATATCTTCTAAGTCTTATTACAAATACAACATAGATGGCTTTATATAGCCTCAAAATGAAACTATTAAAGGCATTCCAAAAGTTGTAACATTCACACTTTATGGCCATAATTAGCCATTATGTAAATGTAACCGAAATTAAATAAAAAGTCTTAAAACACAATAACTCTAAATTATAACCCACCCAAAATTTACAACAATCAAACTTTATTCTTCTTCAATGTAGCATGAATTGAAACATCTTTTGATAATTTTGACAACCTTTTCTTCACATCTTCATTGAAGCATATTGTATGATTGATGTCTCTTGGTTCATATCATTCTCCACTTCTTCAAGAGGATTCGTCCTCGAATCTATTTGTGAAACTTTGCTGCAAAAAATAAGTTATGGAAATACAAAGGACCTCACAACACTCTCTCACGTGTATATACTCAAGGAATTTTAGGCCACTCTGTTTGCACTCATTTACACAAATGAAGCTCTCATTCTCACCTCTCAAAATTTTAAATAGAGCAAAGATTGAATTTTGAACTTTGGGTCGATTAAAAACTAAAAAGATGAAAATAAATAAAAATTAAATTGGAGAAGAAAGCAGAGGAAACATATATCCGATCTTGAGTCTGAAGCTCTGATACCAAATGATAAGATAAGGAATCAACTACAAGGGGAATAAGATTCGGATTACCTTGTCGATCGAATATCTCAAGCCAAGAACACTTTGTTTGAGATTCGAATCACTCCAGAAGCAAGATCGATCATGTCTAGCTTCAATGATTCTTGTTGATCAAATATCTCAAACACTTGTTTGAGATTCGAATCACTCCACAAGCAAGATTGATCATGTCGAGCTTGAATGATTCTACATGCAATCTAAACTACATAGAATTGCAAATGAAACTATTAAAGGCATTCCAAAAGTTGTAACATTCACACTTTATGGCCATAATTAGCCATTATGTAAATGTAACCGAAATTAAATAAAAAGTCTTAAAATACAATAACTCTAAATTACTCTAAATTATAACCCACCCAAAATTTACAACAATCAAACTTTATTCTTCTTCAATGTAGCATGAATTGAAACATCTTTTGATAATTTTGACAACCTTTTCTTCACATCTTCATTGAAGCATTTTGTATGATTGATGTCTCTTGGTTCATATCAACTGTTCAAGAATAAATGGGAATAAGGAAGAAGACGAAGACAAGATGAATTAGCAGACAGGAGGGTAAGTAGTAAAGAAAAGAGAATTGAAAGACTCAACCAAAAACGACGATATTCCCCTACTTCACCTATTGAGAATGAAAGAATCAATGAAGACGCTTTAGCTGCTTTACAATCGAGTAAATGAAATCAATCCTTCTTGAACTCTGTAACCTACCCTTTCTTATCCTATACTGCCTGGAGAGTAAAGAAAAGAAGAATCAACTGACAAAGAGCTACTTCACACCTTTATTCCTTGATAGTGTTTGAAAGAAAGAAGGGAGACTAAAGAACAAATACTTACTCATTCAGCTGAATCGATATGACCTGGGCTACTTCACCGGCGTAACCTCTCTTCCCTGGGCGGGCTACTTCACCGGAAGGAAAGACTGAAGCAAGACAATTAGACTGATCCTACTTCACTCTTTTACTGGGGTTTCACTATTCGATCACTTGGTAAGATCAAGACGAAAGATGAATGAGCGTGAACGAACTCTTTCCTTTCCTACTAGGTAAAGCATATGAAGTAGCTCTCTTTTCTTGACCCTATGCCTATGGATTCTTTCTTTTCCTATTTTTGTTTTGACTGATTGATTCAATTCATTCGTTTTCTTTTCTTTCACTGTAAACTCATGAACCGGATTGGATTTCACTCTTTCACTAGGTAAAGCAGCTGGCTGAGATTCCATTATTCTATTGGTCTCACAACACTAAGTTTAAGTCAGTTATTATATTAGCCCAGATAAAGAAGAGAAGATGATCTACACCCTGCATTGGACTTCAAAGATTCTTTTGCTCTCCCTCCTGTAACAAGGATGAATTAGACTGATTTCACTCTTTCACTAGGTAAAGCAGCTGGCAAAGGTCAAGCTCATGAGCCTCCTCCTAAACTCTGTAACCTATTTGGAACTTATCTTTCTCCTTTCTTTCACTCTCCTGTAAAGACGAAAGCAAGCAAGAAGGCTGAATTCGACTAACCCCTTGTTCTCTTAGTGTGAGTTATTCTGACTGAGGAAGTGATTGTTCACCTCTCTTTTCTTGAACTCTTTCCCTCGGTAATCGGCAATAGGTCTTTGGTTCTTTCCTCCTTTCTTTCACTCTCCTGCCTGGCTTGTAAGAAAGAGTCATTCTCCTATTTCTTCTTTGTAAACTCAATCCTCAACTCTCGACTCAAGATTCATTCTCAATCACTACTGAACGAACCTAATGAAAGAGGGAGGGTAAACTGGACTATTCTTCTTTTCTTCCCCTATTTCTTCTTTGTAACCTCGGTCTCCCTGCTGCGCACCTTTCCTATTCATTCTTTAAAAGGATTTGTCCTCAAATCAAATTCTTCGTTCTTTTCTTGATAATGCATCTGCGACCACATTATCCTTCCCCTTTTTGTAATGGATTACATAAGGAAACGTTTCAATGAATTCCACCCATTTAGCATGTCTCCTATTTAGCTTTGTTTGGCTTTTGAGGTGCTTCAAACTTTCATGGTCCGTATGAATAACAAACTCTTTTGGCCACAAATAATGTTGCCAAACTTGCAAAGCCCTCACAAGTGCATATAACTCTTTGTCATAAGTTGGATAGTTGAGTTGTGCTCCATTAAGCTTTTCACTAAAGAACATGATTGGCCTTTTTTCCTGCATTAAAACAGCCCCTATGCCTATCCCACTTGCATCACATTCAATTTCAAAAGATTTATCAAAGTTAGGTAAAGCAAGACAAGGTGCATTGGTTAATTTATCTTTCAGTTCATTGAATGCATTCTCTTGTTTTTCCTTCCATTCAAATTTCACATGCTTTTTAACAAGTTCATTCAATGGTGATGCTATGCTACTGAAATCCTTAATGAATCTCCTATAGAAACTAGCCAAACCATGAAAAGATCTTACCTCGGTTGCATTTGTGGATGTTGGCCATTCTCTAATAGCTTTTACCTTTTCTTCATCAACTTGTACTCCCTTCTTTCCAACTAAGAACCCTAGGAAGTTGACTTGGTCTAGACAAAAACTGCACTTTTTGAAGTTGGCATAAAGCTTCTTTTCTCTAAGTTTAAACAAAATTTTCTTAACGTGCAAAATATGATCATTCAAGCTTTTTGAGTAAACAAGGATATCATCAAAGTATACAACAATAAATTTTCCAATATAGTCTCTCAAAACATGATTCATTAGCCTCATAAAAGTACTTGGTGCATTTGTAAGTCCAAATGGCATAACAAGCCACTCATAAAGCCCAAACTTTGTTTTGAAAGCCGTTTTCCACTCATCTCCCACATTCATTCGAATTTGATGATAACCACTTTTAAGATCTATTTTTGAAAACAGATTAGCACCATATAATTCATCCAACATGTCATCCAATCTAGGAATAGGGTGTCAATACTTTACCGTTATCTTGTTGATGACTCGACAATCAACACACATCCTCCATGTGCCATCTTTCTTGGGTACCAAAATCACAGGAACCGAACAAGGACTCATGCTTTCTCTAACATATCCTTTATCCATGAGTTCTTCCACTTGTCTCTGAATCTCCTTAGTCTCAGTGGGATTGGTCTTATAGGCAGCCATATTTGGAAGAGTTGCCCCAGGTACGAAGTCAATTTGGTGTTCAATCCCTCTTAGAGGGGGTAACCCCGTACATGCATCTTCATATGAAAATATGTCATTGAATTCCTGCCAAAGAGACTTAAAAGCACTTGGCAAAGCATCATCAGTTTTTTGTTCCATTGCTAAACACATTCCTTTGCACATAGTACAAATTTTGGTTCTTGGGCTAACATATTCCTCATTTCTCCCATTCTTATAACCAAACTCACATTTTCTCTCTTTTCTTCAAAATCATTTTTTTTAACTCTTGGTTTTCACTCATCCTTTGCCCCTCATTTTTCTCTTTTTTTTCACTCTTATCTCTCTCTTTTACCTTAGTTTCTTCTCTCCACTATTGTTCTTCATATTCTTTTCTTTTCTTCTCTAATTTCAATTGGTCACAATGTACTTCATATGGAGACAAAGGAAGTAAAGTAAATTTCTTCCCACACAAAGTAAAAGTATACTTGTTCATCAAACCATCAAATGTTACCTTTCTATCATATTGCCAAGGTCGGCCGAATAAGATGTCCCCCGCATGCATTGGTCCGACATCACAAAGAACTTCATCTTTATATCTTCCAAGTGTAAAGGAAATAAGAGCTTGGGAGTTCACCTTAATTTCTTCTTTGTTTGTTAACCAATGAAGTTTGTATGGTTTTGGATGGGGATGGACAGAAAGTTGAAGTCTTTTTACAAGGAAGCTGCTTACCACATTTGTGCAACTTCCACTATCAATCACCAAGCTGCATGGGTTTCCTTTGACCAAACATCTTGTGTGGAACAAGTTTTTCCTTTGATCTTCAAATTTCTCTTCCTTGATTTGAACATTGAGTACCCTTCTTGTGATCAAAGATATGGAATTACCTTCTTCAACATACATCATCATATGCTGCGATTTCTTCCACAAGCTGTGAATCATGATCCTCACATTCATCATCTGAATCAAGTATACCATTCCTTATCACCATAACTTTTTTGTTAACACACTCTTTGCTCATGTGTCCAAACCCTTTGAACTTCCAACATTGAATAGAACTAGACTTCTCCTTTACCGTATTTGAAGCTTCATTCTTTTTACCAATGGAACTCTCAGCCTCCACTCTTTTAGCCGCCACAAACTTTTCTTTTGGTGACATTGATTCATTTCTATTCACAAAACTATCCTTGTTCAAAGTTTAAGAATTTGAAAAGGTGTTAGTTCGTAATGTGTACCTTTTTTAATGCTCTTTTTCTTCCTTCAATTGATCTTCAATTTTGAGAGTATAGTGATACATGTCTTCCAAATATGGTGGTGGATTTCTGTCAACAAGATGAGCAATTTCTCGATTCAAACCTGCAAGGAATCTAGACAGGAGATTCAGAGACATGTGGAAGAACTCATGGATAAAGGATATGTTAGAGAAAGCATGAGTTCTTGTTCGGTTCCTGTGATGTTGGTACCCAAGAAAGATGGCACGTGGAGGATGTGTTGATTGTCGAGCCATCAACAAGATCACGGTAAAGTATCGACACCCTATTCCTAGATTGGATGACATGTTGGATGAATTATATGGTGCTAATCTGTTTTCAAAAATAGATCTTAAAAGTGGTTATCATCAAATTCGAATGAATGTGGGAGATGAGTGGAAAACGGCTTTCAAAACAAAGTTTGGGCTTTATGAGGGGCTCGTTATGCCATTTGGCCTTACAAATGCACCAAGTACTTTTATGAGGCTAATGAATCATGTTTTTAGAGACTATATTGGAAAATTTGTTGTTGTATACTTTGATGATATCCTTGTTTACTCAAAAAGCTTGAATGATCATATTTTGCACGTTAAAAAACTTTTGTTTATACTTAGAGAAGAGAAGCTTTATGCCAACTTCAAAAAGTGCAGTTTTTGTCTAGACCAAGTCAACTTCCTAGGGTTCTTAGTTGGAAAGAAGGGAGTACAAGTTGATGAAGAAAAGGTAAAAGCTATTAGAGAATGGCCAACACCCACAAATGCAACCGAGGTAAGATCTTTTCATGGTTTGGCTAGTTTCTATAGGAGATTCATTAAGGATTTCAGTAGTATAGCATCACCATTGAATGAACTTGTTAAAAAGCATGTGAAATTTGAATGGAAGGGAAAACAAGAGAATGCATTCAATGAACTGAAAGATAAATTAACCAATGCACCTTGTCTTGCTTTACCTAACTTTGATAAATCTTTTGAAATTGAATGTGATGCAAGTGGGATAGGCATAGAGGCTGTTTTAATGCAGGAAAAAAGGCCCATCATGTTCTTTAGTGAAAAGCTTAATGAGCACAACTCAACTATCCGACTTATGACAAAAAGTTATATGCACTTGTGAGGGCTTTGCAAGTTTGGCAACATTATTTGTGGCCAAAAGAGTTTGTTATTCATACGGACCATGAAAGTTTGAAGCACCTCAAAAGCCAAACAAAGCTAAATAGGAGACATGCTAAATGGGTGGAATTCATTGAGACGTTTCCTTATGTAATCCATTACAAAAAGGGGAAGGATAATGTGGTCGCAGATGCATTAACAAGAAGGTATGCTTTATTTTCTTCCCTTACTGCAAAAATTCTTGGTTTTAAACACATGATTGAATTGTACAAAGTTGAAAAATCTGAATTTTATGATGTGTATATGCAATGTTTAGAAGGGAAACATGTGCAAGATCATATGGTGTTCGATGATATGCTTTTTAGGAAGGGTAAACTTTGTATCCCTAGATGTTCTATTCGAGAGTTACTTGTGAAGGAGGCTCATGGGGGAGGACTTATGGGACATTTTGGAGAATTTAAAACATATAGCATGTTGTGTGAACATTTTTATTGGTTGAAAATGAGGAAAGATGTGAACAAAGTATGCAAGCAATGTTTTAAATGTAAGGAGGCTAAGTCTAAGACACAACCACATGGTCTTTACACACCTTTAGATGTTTCTAGTGAAGCATGGGTTGACATTAGCATGGATTTTGTTCTAGGATTACCAAAGACTAAAAGACACCATGATAACATTTTTGTGGTGGTTGATACGTTTAGTAAGATGGCACATTTCATTCCATGTAACAAAACTGATAAGATAAGGAATCAATACAAGGGGAGTAAGATTCGGATTACCTTGTTGATCGAATATCTCAAGTCAAGAACATTTTGTTTGAGATTCGAATCACTCCAGAAGCAAGATCGATCATGTCTAGCTTCAATGATTCTAGTTGATCAAATATCTCAAGACAAGAACACTTGATTGAGATTCGAATCACTCCACAAGCAAGATTGATCATGTCGAGCTTGAACGATTCTACATGCAACCTAAACTACATAGAGTTGCAAAGAAACTTAGCCATTGGCTAAAGAAAAGCACAAATGCTTCTTTTGATATATCTTCTAAGTCTTTCTTACAAATACAACAAACATGGCTTTATATAGCCTCAAAATGAAACTATTAAAGGCATTCCAAAAGTTGTAACATTCACACTTTATGGCCATAATTAGCCATTATGTAAATGTAACCGAAATTAAATAAAAAGTCTTAAAATACAATAACTCTAAATTACTC